TACATCAGGAAGGGGGGCTAGGGAGGAGTAAGTGGAAGGAGGTGAGGGAGGAATGGGGCACGAGCCCCCGATGGGGAGGACTGGGGTGGCTCTGCGGGCTCCTTGGGGTGGAAGCTTTCCTGCAGGGCTTTTTGGATCCTGACAGCCCCCCAATGGACACCCCCGATGGCAGCCTGAGGCAAGTGCAGCCGGGCTGATGGCCAAGTGCTTTGATGTGCCGAGTGGGGGCACTCAGAGCACTCCAAGCCAGGACTGCTTTGCTGTCCCTCATCGAGTTAGAGAAGCAAGCGGGGAACCCTGAAAACTGTCTGTCCGGGGTGGGGGTCGGGTCCCTTCAAGCACAGCCCTCAGCTAGCCTGAGGCAGCAGCTCCACAGTCTAAGTCCTAACCTGATGCCCTGCCGGCACTGGTTCCGGCCAGCCTTAACTTCAGTTCAGGGTCTACTCAATGTGGACATGCTATTTTGAATTAGCAAAATGCTAATTCTAATTAGTTTTTAGGTCTAGATCCACTAATTCAAATTAGCTTATTTTGAATTAACTAATTCGAATTAAGTTAGTTCGAATTAGTGCTGTAGTGTAGACATACTCTGATAGAGGTGTGTGAAACCATAAGAGACTTTTAGGCTCATGAATGAATTAACTAATTCGAATTAAGTTAGTTCGAATTAGTGCTGTAGTGTAGACATACTCTGATAGAGGTGTGTGAAACCATAAGAGACTTTTAGGCTCATGAAAACCAAAACCACAAGTGGTTTAGAATGTACCAGTTCAGAGGCAGGAACAAATAATTTGTCCGTCACTAGGAAGATGGGACTTTCTTCTTTCCAGTGGCACAAAGTTGCAATTTCTAGCACTGTGGCATGGAAAGATACCCTAACTTGAAAGCTGTGATGTTACTGAATCTTAGAAAAGTAGTTTTGGCTGAACCCTGCCTATCCTGTGCCTCATGTTGGGGGAAGGGGAGAAGTCAAAAAGAAATTCCATGTTTGGGTAGTGAAGGAGGAAACATTGCTCTGGCAGCTTTCCTATTTATTTCAAAAGCTTTAAAAAGCAGGTTTCTAAAGCTGTTCCAATCTTTGGATTGTTACAGTAAGTTCTGCGGGGATGGATTAGTGGGCAGCACATAGTTGAGGTGTCTGAAAGCATGTAATTCTATCTATCACATAGTTATCTCCACATATATGTGTGGCAGGGAGGATGAATGTAGAATTAGCTAGAACAATTATGAATTAAAATAAAATTAAAATTGCTTTACAATATTGTTTCACAAGATATTTGCTGAAATAGTCTTCTGAAAAAACTCCTGATAATCAGCTTACCTTCTGTTTTTCAGCGCTCCCAGAATGGACATTTTGGTGACTAGGCACCTAAGTACATTAAAAGACAAATTTATGCATGAACAACATTTGTACAGAATGTCTAGTGTTCTTTAAAATGCTGAGGCTTGGGGTTTTAATTATTTTATAATAACTACTTACAGGATGAGCACAAGATAAAGCCCAAAGCGAGATTAACAGGAGTACTGCCTTCATATTGATTGTGGTGTCTGTAGCTGTGATGAAGTAGGGAAAAGAGTATTTATACATGCTCCTAATTGCAATTCAGCATGACTGATTATAACAAAAGCATCTAGTGATTTTTGAGTAGTAAAAACCGAGGCGAA